GGAACATTAGGGTTAGGTAGTTATAAGCAGTTATTTATGTATAAGTATTGTGTATTGTGTTGTATATAATGCTAAGAGCAAGTTTGAATACAGCATTATTAGTCGGTGGAAAACGGCGTGACTATACATAGTACTTCTGGGCTTACAGTAGTCTGCAACTGGGCTGTTCCCTTTCAAACCTGAACGAGTGCTCAGAGATGCCCTTGCACCTTCGGCTGAAGTAACTAACATATCAAATCTGGGAACCGAGACTGTGAGCACCGATGTGCTAGATAGAGTACCACATATACCTACCACGCCAGTAACACCAGTGACGATAGAAGCGCTTACGTCGCTTCAAGGTCTCATCATAAAAGACACACATGTGCTTAAAAGGACAAGCAAAGACCGTCTACAGAGACAGATACAGAAGTTAGCAAGCGCCGCTAAAGTACCGTTTGCCAAACAAGCCTTCCTCAAAAATCGTAATTAATCACTTCCTCCTTCAGATCAACTAAGAAGTGAAAATCTATGCGTCTGAGCTAACGCATGTACCGGTATCTGCATGGAGAGCGCCTGTAGCCAGGATGTCCTAGATCACTCTCTCTAGCTCTGTACAATTGGGGTCTCGTGATGTTGAGTAGGCCGGATATAAAGACGAATTCAAATTGAGTTTAAACCTAGACAACATCTACGAGTGTCGTATTTGCGCGACTGCTCCCTTGTTTTGTTCTGCCTTGTAACGGGTAAGCCCTAAACGCGTCATTGCTTAGACCCCTGCCAAGAGCGCCAAGAGCCTCATGTCTTGCAGTTCTCGATGCAGACGCGGTTCAGCCTTATGAACAGTGCACGGCGCGTGCATGACACGCCTTAGGTACCCCGCCCTGAGGCTTCGTACAGGCTTCATACCCAAGTCAAGAACATAACGAGAGCTGGTAGCTTGAGCCCGCGACATCTTGACGCATCACAGGATCCTGCAGGTATCTGAGCTAGTGCACCTGCTCGTCATTCTCTCTGTATGCTGATCATCTACCAATAGCAGGAAAGCAACTAGCAAGCAAGCGCCCGCACCATCAGGCTACTGAGTTCAGCTTTTCGAGTCCTGTTCTCATCGAACATCTCTACTATACACCCACACAAACCTATGCGGCTCTTGCAGTACAGCGAAAGCGGAGAGCTTAGTATCCACAGCTTCGACGATGGCGACATACCCCCCTACGCGATACTCTCACACACCTGGGGCGCAGATAGAGATGAGGTGACGTTTGTAGACCTCCAGACAGGCGGTGGCAAGACAAAGTTGGGCTACAAAAAGATCCTCTTCTGCGGAAAACAGGCGCGGCACGACAACCTCCAGTATTTCTGGATCGACACGTGCTGCATCGACAAGACCAACAAGGCTGAACTCGCCTTCTCCATCCGATCGATGTTTCGCTGGTACCGCAATGCAGCTCGGTGTTATGTATATCTTTCGGATGTTTCTAGTCAACCTCCATTAGTTACGCCAGACTACAACGATTCACAACGGCTTTTGTGGATCTGGATGCTCTCTATTCTCTACACTATGTCGAGATGGTACGGCAGCATGATGCAGCGCTACTTCTGTTCGCGCGACGTTCCATGCACTTCGGTCGGTAGCGGTCCTGTACGAAGTGAGCCGAAGGTTGAACTTGCGCTCAAAAACAGCAGATGGTTTACCCGTGGATGGACATTGCAGGAGCTTCTCGCACCGTCCATAGTAGACTTCTTCTCTAGAGAAGGGACCAAGCTTGGTGATAAGTTGTCGCTAGCAAAAGAAGTGCGTGAAGTTACAGGCATCCCTAGTCCAGCGCTGCAGGGCGAACCGTTGTCTAGCTTTGGTGTTTATGAACGCGTCACATGGATTGAGCATCGCACTACGACGGTTCCAGCAGATCGCGCGTACTCTTTAATGGGTATCCTCGGCGTTAGTTTATCCCCGATTGATGGCGAGAATCTAGCTGAAGCAATGAAGCGGGTTCTAGACGAGGTTGACAAGCAGAACAAGTGCCTCCAAGACTTGTGTCCTAGCAACCCGCGCAATGACAAGAAGCGGATTGAGGAGACTAAGGGCGGGCTGCTTGTGGGCGCCTATTGTTGGATCCTTGACAACAATACCTTCCAGCAATGGCAGCAAGACCTGGAGAGCCGATTACTGTGGGTGAAAGGTGATCCTGGCAAAGGCAAGACAATGCTGCTGTGCGGCATCATCGACGAACTGCAAAACTTGACGCTGAAACCTACCTTTATCTCATACTTTTTCTGTCAGGCCACTGACTCGCGCATTAACAATGCTACAGCTGTGCTGCGGGGCTTGCTGTATATGCTCGTGGACCAGCAACCATCACTTGTAGTTCATGTTCGCAAGAAGCACGATCGCGCAGGCAAGAGCTTATTCGAGGACACAAATGCCTGGGTCGCCTTGACTGAGATCTTCGCCGACGTATTGCGAGATGCAAGCCTAAGTGCGACGTACCTAATTATTGACGCCCTCGATGAATGCGTAACAGACTTGGCAAAGCTGCTTACTTTTATTGCGAAGCAGTCGTCTGCATCCTC